TTGTGTGCCTGGGAAATGTAACGGGGTAAGCGAGAGGAGGCGAGAGAGGATAGGTGGCTGTGAACTTCGACCGTTGCCTTGGAGATGGACAGCAGGGCATCTCGCTCAGCTTGCACTTGTTCAAATATGGATTCCATCTCATTAATACGATCCTGGATCTCCATGACAACATCATCCGCTTCAGGGGCATCTTTGATCAAAACAGCCACCATCTCCTGATACTCGGCGTCAGTCATTGGGTCAAGAGGTGCATTCAAATTGGCGTTGATCTCTGCTCCGATGTTCGGCATTCCGTCATTGCTGCCGTCAACACCAGTTGGCATATCCCCTGTGATGGATCGTGCAACTGCTCCTCCACCATCTGTGTGCTTCACGGCGGTGACACAAAGATCAAAATGTCTGACCAGGGCTTCCAAAAGAATGGCCATTTCTTGAGCATGGGCCTCCAGCGATTGGATCTGGCCCGGCATAGACGACAAAGTGATAAGGCCGGAATCGGACGCAGACGACGAGGAAGATGTGATTGATAGTCGGGATGACGCCAACTTGGTGGCTGTATGGTAGTGACGAAGCGACTGCCTGGTGGCTTGAAGTTCGTCATCAAATTCACGGTTGGACGTGTCTAATTCGGCACGCGCTGCATTAGTGCGGTCGATAGATGCTTTTAAAGAGGCATGTAGCTCTTCGACACCCCGCTCATCAACAAAGTCATGAAGAGTCTTCCGCTCTTCATCTCCAGGTCTGAATGAGGCGTGAACGATAGTCCCGCGGAGCAGATCTAACGTGTTTCTGAGGCGAGCATCAGCAGCATCTAGGTTTTTTAGTGCCAGTGAAAACTCGTCACGACCTCGGTATGATATTTGTTCGACCTCGGTACGAACATCGTATAAAAGCCGGAGTTGCTCATTAAGGCCTCGGCGTAAGAAGCCTGTTCGGGAGCACAAAATAACACTCTTCTCCAGTGCCGAGTGTGACGCAGTGACTATTTCATTGGCCCGCCAGACATGGGTAATGGAGGAGAGCGAACGTTTGGCACCCAGCAGATACGATATCAGAGTGTCAACTTGGGGCATGGACTGCTGGTCCCCTTCGTTCAGTCCAGCCTGCGGACGAATAGACGATGAAGATGACTGTGATGACGCCATTGTGAGAATTTGTGAGAACTTGTGAGAATCAATTAACCCTGTCAATGGCGCATTCGGAATAAGATAAGACCAGGATTGAGGACCAGGGTTGAGGAACAGATAGACCTCTCAGGGGCGAGAGTGAAATTGACACAGCTACGAGGAAAAGGGGCTGATTGCACCGCTTTCACTTCACTAAAAACCCAGACACTTCAGTATAGGCCTATATTTACCAAATCAGATTCTTGTAGACTTAAACAAGACAGGGGGAAATTGCTACTTTGTAGCCCATATACCAGGGAGTTGAGTGTAATGAGGACCTCGGGAGTTCGGTATGAGCCGGGGCTGTGCTTTACACGGTAGACCGAAAGTGAAGCACGAGCTCCAGCCCAGAAATGACTTGCAAATAAAGGGATGAAACAAAAAAATAGCGTCTTACCAGTAGTTCTCGGTCGAGAGCTGATTTCCTGGGTACAACGTAAATTGGAGACACGGCAAGCCGTTCATAGAAGGTTTAGATAGACCGGAGTAGGGTTTATGGAAGTAACCAACAAAGCTGGGGGCAGTGGGTCTCAAAAAGGGTGAGTGTCGGTGTGAGATTGCTGTGGGACTAGTCTCAAAAATCATACAGAAGATAAGATGCCCCGTTTCAGCCCAGTTAAACCCAGAAATAGCGAATCAGCCTGTCGGATGCGTAGGAAGTGATCGATTGAGGTGCGATGGCGTGGAGATGGCGCCATGCGGATCATAGTCACGTGTCACCTCACCGCCCAGATCACGTATTTGCCGCTCTGCCGCTGTCACGCAATTCCCCGGACTCATCGATGGCGATATCCAAGACACATCCAGATTGTGCAATTTTCCCAGATCCTGAATAATCCTCTGATTTAAAGTCTCTGTCGATCGCATTTCCATTTCCATTTTTTTTTATAACTTTCTCTTTGTCGTCCAAATTGATTTCAGTTGTCGAGCTCAATAACACTGTTATCTCAATCCTTCTCTCAGGGTACTCATATCGCCCCAATCGATAGCCCTTGGCTCCCCTCCCTCTCGACTCTTTGATCTTGGGCAAATTTTCAAGAACACTCATCGTCACAACATTGATTGATATCTTTCCTCTGTGCTTCTTGCTATAAACAATTTCAACTCAGGAGAATAGGAATATTTGCAAATCGACAAATTCTTATCTCGGTACACCAGGCGCGACCGTCACTCGCCCGAGCGGTCGTCCCCTCCCCCTCGCACCGCGCGAGACTGGATCAATCACCATGACCAATGCACCAAAATCTTCGTCCACACAGCGAAGCCTGGTTATCGCAAATTCGGGGGTCAGTGCGAACGCCGACTCTAACCGCTCTCTGCAGCGCAAAGACACCGACAACACCACACAAACCCTGGAGGAACTAGCGAGGCAAAATGTGGCTCCGTTCCTCGAAAAATATCAGCCACGACAATATGCGCCTTTCCGATCGCAAGTTGCAACTCGATCTGAGCAAAATCTTGTAAATGCCAGCTACTGCTATCGTCACCAACCAGACTCAAAATGTGGCAGACGCCAAGCCGATGAACAGTCGATGACACAGCTGCAGTCCGAGCTGAACTTACTTCCTCAAAGTGACCAGCAGGGTATTGCCCATGTGTGGTCGTTGTTCTCCGCTGCTCCAGCGAAACAGCGAACTCTCATGCTTCAGGGAATTCTGGCGCAGTCCTGCTTCCCTCAACTATCCTACATCTCTGCCAGTGTCCGCGAACTCATCCGAATCGATTTCCTCGGTGCCCTCCCTCCAGAGCTGTCCTTCAAAATTCTCCGTTACCTCGATACGGCCTCCTTGTGCCGAGCTGCACAAGTTTCTCCTCGCTGGAGAGCCCTGGCCGATGATGATGTGGTGTGGCACCGGATGTGCGAGCAGCATATCCGCCGAAAGTGTAACAAGTGTGGCTGGGGCCTTCCTCTTCTGGATCGCAAGCGTCTGCGCGAAGCCAAGCGTGAGATTGAATTGCGCGCTACTAACTGGGGTAACAACAAGCCTGGCGTTGGGTCTACTGAAGCCGCAATGGTCGAATCTTGCTCGACAGTGGAACCTCCAGCCAGTGGCAAACGCAAATTGGAACCTAATGAAGAAGTCTCCGCCCTTGCAAAGCGCCATTGCGCATCGCCTCCCCAGTCTGCTGAAGAGGATGAGAGTTACTTCAAAACTCGTTACCGTCCGTGGAAGGAGGTTTACCGGGATCGATTTGTTGTCGGTATGAATTGGAAGCACAAGCGCTGCTCGGTCAAAGTCTTCAAGGGCCACAGAGACAGTGTCATGTGTCTGCAGTTCGAGGACAATATCTTAATGACTGGGTCCTATGATGCTACAGTTAAGATTTGGGACACAGATACTGGCGAAGAATTGAGAACTCTTAAAGGCCACGTTGCTGGAGTGCGATGTCTCCAGTTCGATGACACCAAATTGATCACCGGCAGTCTGGATCGCAGCATCAGAGTCTGGAACTGGCGCACAGGCGAATGTATCTCCAAGTACAATGGCCACGCCGAAGCAGTCATCGCCCTCCACTTTGATTGCACCCTTCTTGCATCTGCCTCTGTCGATCGCACTGTCAAAATTTGGAATTTCAAGGACAAGTCTACCTTCGTTCTTCCCCACCCACAGGGAGTCAACGCCGTCAAAATAGACTCGGTTTCGCGCACAGTTTTGACCGCTTGCGACGATGGTGCTGCGCGTCTTTGGGACCTGGACACCAAGACTTGCATCCGAGTCTTCCATAACCACATCGGAGCCGTCCAGCAAGTTATTGCTTTGCCCCGAGAAATTGAACTGGAGAATCACCTCGCCGACTGCGAGAACGACCACGTCAGCACATCTTCTCAAAACGGTGACAACATCCTGAGCACACTTTCCCCTCTTCTCGAAGCCAAGTCTCTCTCTCTCCAGAACTCACCATTCGGCTCCTCTTTTGACCAGGATCAAGGCCGCATTGAACCCCCGCGCTATATCCTCACCAGCGGTGTGGACACAACCATCAGACTGTGGGAAACCAGCACCGGAAGATGCCTTCGTACCTTCTTCGGACATTTGGAAGGTATTTGGGCTCTTTCTGCTGATACCCTGCGGATTGCCTCTGGTGGCATGGATCGCATGGTCAAGATCTGGGATCCTCGTGTTCCTACCGGCCAGGATACCTATGAAGGTCACAGTGCGGCTGTCAACTGCATTGGCCTGAGCGACAGCCGCTTCATCACTGGCGGTGATGACTACCAAGTTCGCATGTACGATTTCCGGGCCTAGAGTGGCCGATATTTTTCTTTTCCTTTGTCTATCAAAAGTACCCTTTTTGATTGGATCTTTTTTATTATCACGGGGTGGGGCGTATTATTGCGGCGCTGCCATCTTCTCTGTTTATTTTTATTACTGCATCTCCGGTGGATGGATGGATACCCTGGCGCATTCGAGAACAGTGGCTGTGGCTCAAACAAGGTGATTTAGCCTCACATATGGCCACTGACTGCATAATAGGCGCTACTTTTTGTTTTTACTACATGTTCTTCTGTTCATGTCTGCTTTCGTGTTAATAATATGTTCCTCTGTTTCCATAGGACAATGAATTTGAATGAACCATGACGGCCTATTAATTCCAAAGTTGTGCTACTACTGTATTGGGCCGTGGAAGCCAACTGGACGGCCGCACAGAAACGGAACTGGATTCAACTTTGGTATCAACCTTAAAAGTATGAAGTCGGTTGCTACAAAGGTTTAACCGACAATCTTCCAACCCTGGCTCCTATTTCTATCCCGGTTTCAAGAAACATGCATATATCCCATTGTAATGAAACAATCCACTCGCTCTCTCCAAGCTAAAATAACTCTAATCACTATGACGGACGCTCAATTCGACATGCGATCTGACCGAGTGTGGTATTATCAAATGGATGACCTTTCAGACGGTTAGTACATAACCCACCTCATGCAGATCGAGATCTCGTTGACACACAAACCACCTTAGGCTATCTGGGAAAGCTAAATATGGATGCTGAATACATCTCGGCATCTAGCGCTTCGAAATCCAGCTCTGATCTCCCCACCACACCCAAGACCCAGTCAGTTGCTGTGATTAAACAGCCCCAAAGCGGTTACAAACACTGCTGGGGAGATTGGGCTCATTGGAAGCGACTCCCGATAGGAATGAGATAGCTTCTAGTTATATTTAGCTTAGTCGTCGTTACTTGGTGGCTCCTATCTGGCAGCTATGAGCCGTAAAGGAAAGTCTGGCAAAGCTTGACGCCGGGAATGCCTTACACCAACGTGCCTCGATAATGCTGCCCGGCGAGTCTTCCGTAATCCCTCTGTCTACCCGTGGACTGCCACGCCGTCTCCTAGTGTTACCACTTCGATTTATGTCTTCACAGATCCTGCACGAAATACCTTTTTGACCAAAGTCCGTGTCTCTACATCCGTCGTCTCCCCTGCTCCATCTCCGGGCGTGACAAGAAAGATGAATCCAAGTGCCACATTGAACCCTGTCTTGGATCAATTGATGCGATGTGTCTAGGTGAGATTGTGCAGAATTTGCGGTCTGAGTATTGATATGAATGGATGGAAGTTGCTATTAAGCGTAGTATCATTATTGTGTGGCCCAAAGCTATTGTCTCCTGTTGCTGCCGTTCCCTCTTTAAATACAATCCCATTGAATTCGAGTTATTGTTCCTGCTATTGAGCCTCCAATACTATTATCTACAACCCTAACTGACTTACCTTTCTTTCATCTTCATCTCTATGGACCATCGCTTAATATTTAAATGGGTATCATCTCATCTTCACTTCTGATTTGCTTCCTGGTGTACAGTTCCAGCCATTCAATGCTTTGATATCAGCATTGCTTGTACCATCACCACTTCAACATTGAACCATCTTCATACTTTTACGCTCTCCTCCAAGCATCACATATTGATACGTGCAAGTCAGTCCCAGCACATAAGTGACAGTCCTTTTCCCTCTTTAATACCGCAAAATCCTCCATTGGTTTAATCTGACCAGACCGTAAGTATCAACTCCTTGAGACTGTTGCGATTTCAACACCTGTTAAGCGAACATGACCCGCAGCTTCTTCGCAGCTTGCAGCTCGCGGCTATTGGGCATTCACCATGGCATATTCTCCCCAGAGACTCGCGCAGGCTCGCCAGCTCTTTTCAAAAACCACCAGCAACTTCTACCTACTTTCACACCTCGATGACCCATATCACACGCGAGAACGTGCCGCCAAGCGTTCCGCTTTCAGTGCGGCCTGGCAAGACAGCGACGAAGATGACAACTTCGCATTTTTTAACGAGCAATCACCGACCAAGCGCAAGCGATCTCTTTTCTATGAGGACGATCGAGAGCCTCGATCTGACAAAAGGGCCAGAAGTGAGTCTCCGGCTTCTACGTTCCGTTCTAGACTATACTCAAACACGGACAATGAAGACCATGTCTTTCCTTCGACACCCTCCCACTACAGTGAGCCGGACAGCTGGGACAGGTACTGGGCCGTCAAACCCGAAACAGAAACACCAAACTCACGATACAGCTTTCGACGCCGCAACAAGGAATTTTTTTCAGAACCACCACAAAAGAATGACAAGTCCAAGGCTGAGGCTGAGGCATCAAAGCCGACTGAGAATATCCTGCCTGCTGATAACGAACGTCCGTTGAGAGGGTGCGATGCCTGCAAAGAACTCGGCTTGGAATGCTCGCTTGCATCTGACCCCGATCCATTCGCCTATCCTTGCATAACATGTGAAGTCGATGGTGTCTTTTGCGTCGTGAGCCCACCACCCAAATGGAAGCGATCATGCGAGAGTTGCAAAGGTCGGAGGAAAGAACTCTGTTCATATCGCCACGCTGATTACGACCATTCCCAACCTTGTCTCCAATGCCTAGACCATGGATTCGAATGCGTTGCTGGACCAGCTAGACACCCACCCTTTGCACTCTTTCCCACAAGTGAACCAAGCGAGAGGAGTAGCTCTCCAAAGATTGATCCTCCAGCAACATCCAACTCATCCCAAAGAACCTCAGAACCCTACTTTCTTGAGATATCAAAGCCGAGCAGTTCTCCAGAGATCGATCCTCCAGCACGCCCCAACTCACCACATGGCACCCAAGAGATCGCGGTCTTCGAGGTACCCACACCGTGTCAACAACCCAATCCCTCAACCACCCAACCAAAGATCCGGACTCCAGAGACCAATCCCACAAAGACCATTTCTTGGGAACTCCCCTCCCCTCCATTCACCAACACACAGTCCTCCGTTGTTGAGGGACCGAAGCCACACGAGGTGATTATAATCCCTGATTCAGACGACGATGCCCCACACACCCCGGAAGGACAGAACTCCCTGATTTATATTTCTGACTCTGTTGAGTCACCCATTCGCACCACTGTATCAAATACCATTGCTTCGCAGTCAGTGAACACTCATCGAATCTGGACTGAACTTGCTCATCCCGTGGTGTTTCTTGCAGATGAGCAGGATGGATCCCCCCCTTGCCACTGGTGCAACAACTTTGCGTATGGCATCAATGGCCTTGGTCCTCGCAACCCAGAGGTCTGGGTCTTTGATAACGGCACGATAGTTGAACTCCAGGATGGCCATATTGGTGAAGGAAAGGAGCAGAGCCGGATGTGTGTTTCCTGTGCATGGGATCGATGCAAAATCATACAATGCTCCCACAATACCCTCGATCTACTACCTTTGCCTTTGTCCTCGAAAACCGAAGTCCGAACTGACGCTTCAATAATTCTACGCCAGGCAACTGAAGCTCTGATTGACTCCAAGACTGGAAAGGCTGGCCCTTTTTTCCCTAGCCCCATTTATGAATGGTGCAGTCTGTGTCGAGAGCCCGCTTTTGGATCTTGCCAGACCGTTCAACCAGTCAATGCCCACGCAGAGGTGGTGGACTGTGATGAAGAATGCAGTGGGTGTGGACTGATGCTCTGTGAGCGCTGTCTCAACCTCACCAAGCAATTCAAAGGTGACCTCAACGCTGTGGTTGAATGGGGTCGTGCCCAGTCTAACCCTATTTCCCACCGAGCTGATGTAGAGTACCTTCTCTCAGGAGCGGAGAACAACACCATGTACAAACTCTACATGGAGGAGCGTTGAAGGTTGTTTTTCTTTTTTTTATTGTACCTATCTCACCATAGCTAGCAAGCAGCAGTAGCGAAGTGAGGTTGACATAATGCAAATGACTTGAGTTTCAATTTTGTTTCTGAAGGGAATGCTAACAAACACATGTGCTAACAAATCTATGATTGTTTGGATAGGCATAGGCTCTGTTTGATGAGTACGCGCGACAGTGAGGGTATTGTGCCCTAATGTGAACAATAGGTCGATAACACCACAATAGGATCGGAATAGTACCATAATAGGAACAGAACTAGAATTCCCACAAACAATCTTAAATGTATAATAGTGTTATTGATAATCAATTCTACTCCCGAGTCTCTCCCATTGTGCGAACTACTCTAAAGAGTGTATTGTATACCTTACAAGTATAAGTAAGACCTTCATAGCTCTAACCTTTTAATCTTTCTTCTCTTCTTCCCATACATCTTTCATATCTTCGTTTCATATCCTCTGCTTGTACTATTACATTTACTTTTTTTTTCTGTTCATCAATTGTTTTAAACTTTCATCTACAAGACGCTGGTCGTCTGTGGATAGCCCTGGGTTTCGTTTCCGCTCCGGAAAAAAAAAATTACCTTTTCTGCCAAATTCGTTCACAACCAAAATCCCCTTGTACTTCCAACTAAACGGAGGTAAGGGTGCTGCTTTGATCCCGTCTTCTATTTCCCCTTGGTTGCCCCGAGCTGCGACACGAGGTGCGCAGCTCATCGCCACGACGTCTTCACCAAAGAGACGAAAAGTTTCCCCAGAGCCTCGCACCAGTCCAGGCCTTCGGGCTCGACGTCACGGCCGCTCCGAACCTCCACACTCTCGCCACACATCCTCCTGTTCTTCCCGCGGTCAGAGTTCGTCGTTGTCCCCGCCTCGCTACGTGCCTGCGCATCTGCAGTTTCAGTCCGGAAGCCCGCCTGGCCGCTCGCTCACCCCCGCGACCGCGACCGCCGGACTCTCCCTCTCCAGCGACCATTCCGATATGCCCTCCGATACTCGAGAGGGTACACCTCCAACCCATGGACGATCCCCTTCTCCCGGCGAGAAGCGCCCAGCATCTGAGATTACCGACTCCGACCCCGAAGGCGGCGTGAGCACTGTCTGCAATAACGCGCGCACATACATCATCCCCCGCACATGCGACAGCACAAACGATGAATCCACGGATCCCACCACTTCAAGCAATGACAAGACCGGGCCGGCATCCTCGGCTGGCGAGCAGTCCAGACCAGCATCGCCTAAATCAGATGAAATTCCTACGATCGATGAGCAGGTGGCAGAGGTGAATGCGCTGATGACAGCGCCGTTGAAAGATGGACAAAAGGGCTTTGTTGTTTCAATGGCTTGGCTGAAGAAGGTGCTTGCACGCACTACGGCCCATGCAGATCACACTGACAAAGGACCATTGGAAGGTGACGTTGGTCCCGTCAATAATTTGAACATAATGCTTGACACCGACCCGGCCACGCCCAGCTTCAAAGACGAAACCGGAGAAACATTTGTCCCCATGCGTCCTGGCTTGCACGACTCTCTAGACTTCGCCATAATTCCGCAACATGGCTGGGACCTGATCCAGAAGTGGTACGGCCTCGCCGACCAGTCACCTGTGATCATCCGCTACGCTCACAACACCAGCCAACCCGGTGATACCGAAAGGATCGAATATGAGACTTATCCTCCGATTTTCACCATTTTCAAATTGGCCAACCCGGCCGCGGGTACCACCCCGACCATCTTGAGACAAACCATCAAACCATCTGTCAAGATCCTGGCCAGTCGCCAGACGAATTACCAAAAATGGCTGAAGGATGCCAAAGAGCAGACTGGTATCGATATGTCGACCAAGGTTCGGGTTTGGAAAATTCTCCAGCTACCTCGTAGCACCACTGCATCAGCTTCAGCAACCCCAGCTGCCTCCCGCAGCCAATCGCCAGCTCCTCCCTTGGCTCTGATCTCGAACCCCAACGATAAGGTCCTGTTCGATTTGAATGTTTTCCTCGAACTTCCAGAGGGAAGCCACCGGGTGTTGCTTGAGAATGTCAAGGATCAAACTCAAAATGCAAACTACAACGGTCGTATGACCTTGGATATGGCTGGTCTCAGCGTGACAAACTGTGTTGTTCTTGAAGAACAGGTCGGCAGCTCCAAAGGTGGAGAATGGGTGTCTGAAGCCTCTGTCAAAACTCTCAAGAGTCTGGGTATCCCTGTGGATCAACCGAAGAACAATGCTGTTACCAAAGCATCTGCCGCTAAAGCCGCGCCGAACAGCACACCCAGCGGCAGGACCACCCCTACCCCGGGACCCGATCCAATTAGGGGGCTCATCTCTCGAGGTCGGAAGGGTCGACAGCTTATTGTGGGATTACAAAACCTTGGCAACACTTGTTATATGAACTCCGCATTGCAATGTGTGCGAAGTATTGAGGAATTGTCTTATTACTTCCTCAGTGAGTATACTCATCTTACTGTTGGATACTGCGGATGAGGCCAATCAATGCTAATATTAATCTGCAGGCGGAATGTACAAACCAGAGCTGAATCCTGGCAATGTCCTTGGATGCGGCGGTACCATCGCCAAGCAATGGGCCAACTTGCTTCAGGAGCTCTACAAATCGGACCCTCAGCCAAGATCTGTCAACCCCTATAGGTTCCGTTCTGCCGCTGGTCGGCAACGTGAAGACTTTGCTGGCTACGAACAACATGACAGTCAGGAATTTGTGATGTTTCTCCTTGATGCACTGTCGGAAGATCTAAGCCGCATCGTTGGCAGCAAGCCAGCCACTGTCATCCCTGATTCCACTGATGAGATGATCCACGATCGCAAGGCTCTTGAGGATTTCGGCAAGAAGTGTTGGGACCTCTATGAGGCCCGCAACGCCTCCGTTATCACCGATCTGTTTGCCGGAATGTACAAGTCAACACTGATTTGCCACAATTGTGAAAAGACCAGCATCATCATGGACCCTTTCACAATGGTCACTGTGCCCATCCCAACGGGCCCGACGCTCATCAATCGAACAATTATCTTTTACCCTCTCGACGGTCCACCCGTGTCTCTGAAAGTCCGGCTCGATGAACACGATACTTTGAAGACTTGGAAGGACTTTGTCGCCGAAAAGATGGGAGTTGACGGGGAACGCATCTTTGCAGCAGAGACATTGCACAATTCCTTCTGGCAAACATTTTGCGACGATGACGATACTTTCGGCAGTCTACGCATTACACAAGAAGACACCATTGTGTTCTACGATCTTGGTCCTCTTCCAGCGTCTACTAATTCTTCTGACTCCACCAATGATGATGTAGTCCTTGTGCCCGTTTTCCACCGCAAACTTGTTCCGCGGAAGAACAAAGAGGGCACTCATGATCTTTTCGGAATCCCATCCTTCATACGCCTTTCTAGTGAAGAATCTCGGGATCTTGAGACGATTTACCGCAAGCTTCTGACTCAGGTGAATAATATGACTACACAAGACATTTTTGCTGTCGAAGAAAACAGCCACAACGACAATGCGACTGATGACTCTGACACCGTGGTCACCAACGAGGATGATGCACGGTCAGCAGATTCCCGAATCAAAACATCTTCTGTTGACGGCGAAGACAGCATCGTTGACATTTCCATGCAAATTGAGCAAGGGCCCACGCCTGCCGAGGGCACCGATGAGTCGGATTCTGACTCTGACTCTGAATCTGTCAAGTCCCCTCAGCATCCCCTTGCTGGCAAGATTCCTGCCACTTTGTTGTCACTCTTCGATGCAACGGTCATGAGCACACCTACCACTCTTCCTGATGGGCGCAATATTTCGACACTTAAAACCTACCCCCCCATTTCCTCCCGCATCTCATCTCCTCCCACTTCTACTAAGGTTGGTTTATTCCATCTTGTCCGTTCGGATTCAGCCCGCTAATCTTTGCCAGGGATCCGATGCTTCATTTAAAAGCTCCGCAGATGACAATCTCGATGATGACGTCGATACAGATGAATCAGATCCGACACCAAACTCAGCACCAGCGCTCGTTCGCCAAGGTGATGCCATCCTACTTGACTGGACTTCCAATGCCATTGATTCCCTTTTCAGCGGCAAGCCACGCGACCCCGAGGAGCTCCGAGGTCGCCCTACCTTCATGAACATCAAGAATGTCTTTGATCACTCCATGGTGGTAAGCCAAAAAAGGCCTAAGCTATCAACTGTCTCTCTCGACCAATGCCTAGACGAGTTCAGCAAGGAGGAGATCCTTTCTCGGGCAGACAGCTGGTTTTGTCCTCAGTGCAAGACCCACGTTTCAGCCACCAAGAAGTTCGAGCTGTGGAGAACCCCGGATATTATGGTCGTTCAACTCAAGCGGTTTAGCCAATTCCGCGGCAGGAACGGACACAAGATCAGCACTCTCATCGACTTCCCCTTCGAGGGACTTGATTTGAGCAGCCGAGTGGAAGGCCCCATGGATGGAAAGAGTGCGGTGTACGATTTGATTGCTGTCGACAACCACATGGGTGGAATGGGTGGTGGCCACTACACTGCCTACATCAAGGACTTTGTGTCTGGTGCCTGGGTCTATTGCAACGGTCCGATACCTACCCCTCGTTGATATACTAATTGGAAGATATCTTACTAACGTGAGTTGCAGATACCTCTGCGAAGACTGTCACAGACATGCGGTCGATCATCACGCCGGGTGCCTACCTCCTGTTCTACCGCCGTCGCTCCGATCGTGCATTGGGCAACCAGGAACTGCAGGAGCTGGTTGAGGGCTACCGGAACCGCGAGGCGAGTGTATCCGGCAGTTCCTCCGGCTCCCGCAGTCCCGGTGGTTCCCAATCACCTTCGGGGGACGGCGGTCGTGTCCTTGGCGGCGCACCCCCCAAGGGGTCGTCTGCCTTGGCCGGGGCAGGAGCAGCACCTCGAGTGAGCCGGGGGCAAGACTCCCTCGGCAATGACCTGTACTCTTCTGCCGAGGAGAGTACTTCGGGCTCGGAAGACGGCGGCAGCGAAGGTAAGAAAATCGACTACGAGCACGAGAACGGGGGATCGCAGGTCGACTCCCTCAGCAAGCTCACGGAACCCTCTTGGTCGTTCGACGCCGCTCACGACATCTCACAGATTACGGGTGGTAACGCTGCCACCGAAGATGGCATCTTTGAGGGTCGATGTCCATGGGATGATGGCATGGACATCGACCCTCAGTTTCAGTTTGGTCTCACTTCTGGGGGTGAGGGGGAGGATTCCTCCGATGACCTCCCGGTCGTGGAGCTGCGTGTGGGGTCCGAGGACATGATGTCCTCGGATCCATGAATATTATGAATTTCTTAAAAAACAACAACAAAAAAAAAAAAAAAAAGGAAAGGGGGAGGGAGGTGGATGGGGGAATGGGGGGTGTTTTTCTACATATAGAGGGAGGGGGATGGGCAGGTGGCCCATACAAAATAAAAAATATGTTTTCTTGTTTTAATTTTCAATCACATCCTCAATGCAAAGTAAAAGCAAGGCCAAACTCAGGTCAATGTAAAGATCCAGCGAACTCTTAAAGTAAGTCTCCACTCTATCACTTCTTCGCCGCTTAACTATCAGCTTCCTCACCAAGAGCTTCTATCTATAACAAACAGGCCGGATGATCTCATCTCTTTCATAGCAAGTCACACCAAACATGTCCGGACTCTGCCTTTGCACTCAATCTTCAACGGCAGCAGCGGCCAGCAATGTGTCCATACACGATAACCTCGTTCTATGTAGCTATGTGGATTTGTTCCTTGTTCTCCCATTTCTATATCCGTCCAGTTTACCACTAGGGACTATCCCAAGAGCCATAAATGTAGACATAGTTGTTTCAAGGTTGTTACGACTTGCTTCACTAACATTGTTTCAGGCATTAAGCGATATCAAGACTCACCTATAAATTATGCAACTCTTGCTGTAATCTTTCAGCATAACATCCCGCATGAACAAGTCTCTGCAAATAGACCCTGTTAGTCCTATAGCGAAGTGCACCGTATGTAAACCGGCAATTCCAATCAATACAACGGTGTCCAATCCTATGGTGAAATACCGGAGGTTTCATGTTTTAAATGTCCTATATTGTTTCCTTTATCAAAATACGTTGTATCCAAAATCACCACCTAGGAGTCTAGACTGAAGAACCCCCTGTATTGACTCCATACCGGAAGCATAATATCAACAGATGATATGTATGGTGTTTATATGGAGATATAGTAGAGAATATGATGTTCTGCGACACGGGGCCCGCGCGAGGAAAGTGCCAACCTGCAGAGTTCCTTCCATCTTAGGGCACGGTGCGTGCCAATGATCACCTACGCGTAACTAGCTCCCTAATTACCACGCTCCCCTCCATTCGCTAGCCGAAGATCGATACATACACGCACTCATTTCAAGATGAAACGCACCACGCCTTCTCCGAAACGTCGGGGACTCTTCAGTCATGACCCACGCCAACTCAATCCCCAGATATCTGACCTGTGTCCTGATTTTATCAATGTCAGCCCAGCCGGTGCCAGGTCGATGATCGAAACGATCAACTCCGAGCACGCTGATAGACACTTGGCTTTCCAAAACACCAGCGACCAACTCGAGCTTCTGAGGCTCGAGGTCTTGCGTCTCAATTTATTGGAGTCCACGAAATCCAAGTATAGTCCAGAAAGCGAGATGTCTCCTCAATGCGCGACCCCCGTCTCAACTGAAGACTTGAGTTCCAATGGAGAACCCGGTCCCACAGTCCCAAACTCAACGCGATCCTCGATGCGACCCCGTGCTGCAGTCTTGAGTGAAAGTCAGATCAGTATTCTTGATCTCGGTCCCAGTCTACACTCTACCCATCTTTCAGCTCGACCCTCTCGCAGCAACTCATCCTCTTCAAATGCTCACACCGATCTCGCCCGTACCACTGCTCCCAGCTTTGTGCCGGGACCTGGCAGCGACAGTTCGGACCAACAAGTTGAACGCCACCTCCGGACAGACGAGCTTGAATCTCTCGCTCTCACTTCCGACAGTGGCTCCGTCAACAACGAGTTCCCTCTCAACCTACGTCAACGCCGCCAGAACCGAACCAACATCACTTTGCCCAACCCTCAGGATCTCCGCCCTAATCGCATAATCCGTGCATTCTCCCTCAGTGGTACTCATAGTGCGAGAGATGCATCTCCTAATTCCTTCTCTGACGAGCCCATTCGCCGGATTTTCTCGCTCTCTGTTCCGCAATCTCCCCAGTCTCCAGCTCTGCCCCCCAATGCAACTCTACGACGTGCTCAGAGCTCCTTTAGTGGAATGGACCCGGCCTTTTTGGCTATGCGTAATGCAGAGCGGGCGAGACAGAACGCAAGCGATACTACAGGCCCTCGGAGTGCCGATCGGAAGTGAGAGACAGGGTGCAGAAGCATTGAGGTATGCGATATGACGGTCATTTCACGTCAAGAGAAAGCTTTATGGAATTTGATACTTGTTCTGGACACGGTGGAACAACATTTGAAGCTTTGGAATATGGGAATCCGTTATGAGTTCTAGGACCTTGCAAATGTTTGCTTCGATGCTCCTTGCTTTGAGCCTTTTGTCATACCTGCAACCTTCGGCATACATCACCTGTTTATTAACTGATTACTCTCAAACGAAGCTTATTTTCAAGTTGATGTTGTGTAGATCAACCTGTCTATTTCGTGGGTATATGAAGAAAAATATTTTAATTTAGTGGACTAGATATATATAGATCGGCCGCTCTTGGATCATCATTCGGTGACGTTGCGCTCGCGGGAAACCTGGGGTTCAAGCTGGAACCATCGCAACCATTCCAAATATTCTAAGACAAAAAAGCATCTATCAACCTATCTCGCAGTTTTCCTTAGTTGTCCTTTCTTTGCAGCATTTTGCCAATACTCTATCCATGAATATCGAAGCCCAACTTTCATGACGTAATCGCCAACACCGCCTTGCACCAGCCACACCACGACTTCCCCCCCGCAGATCCCCAGGAACAGTCTCCAACTCAGTTTCCGGTATTAGTTGGCCTTATCAAGCCTTCATACCTTTCGTAATGTGGAACGACGAAGACAACAATCCCTACGGGGCCTTTAACCAACATCAGTCTGGCCTATCTGACTCCCTACATTCAGCCGCACTCTCTCCCCGTAAGATCTCAGCTTGGTTCCTACCCTAACGCTTCTGCCTTTGGAACAGTATCTCACAGTAGCTAGCTCTCTACGAACATGATTCAACCCCCCCATCTAGCCGCGACTCCAGCAGCGAGCCTCCCGATTACATCACGCATACCGACGACCTCAGCGATCCCGAAGATGAGGCCGAGTATGGTGCCGCCAGTGAACAATACCCCCGGAAGAGCGTCTATGACAGCCGGATTGAGCAGCTTCTTTATGAAAACCCCGAGATGCCAATTTTGATCACGGATGCTGGGAAAAACCATGAGGGTGGCGGGGGCTTTATTGTTTACACAATTCGGACTGCGGTATGAGAATGGTGCCCGACGGGGGACTGTACAATACTGAGTGTTGATAGGACCTGGAAGTGCGCCGTCGATATTCCGAGTTTGCATCATTGCGACAGACCCTTGTCAATTTGCATCCCACCTTGGTCGTTCCGCCGATTCCCGAAAAGCATAGCATGGCGGATTATGCAGCCAAACCCACCAGGGCCAAAGATGATATGGCTATTATCGATCTCCGAAAGCGCATGCTCAGTGTGTTTCTCAACCGCTGCAGGCGTATGAAGGAGATCCGCGAGGATGGAGTGTGGTGGAGATTCCTTGACCCCAACGTTAGCTGGGTGGGTTTGAACTGGATGTTTCTGGTTACGGGGTTATTAACTAACATTTGTTCAGAGCGAGGTTTTGAGCTCCCATCCCGCAGCATCAGTCCCAAAGAATAACCTCAAAGCGCCACCTCTTGACCCAGCAAACCCCACACCAGCCCATGGCTGGCTCCCGATTCCGTCTACATCCGCAAAGCTCAAGCCCAGCGGGGGGACTACCACAGCTGGCGGAACCGCGGCATCGTCCACGTCGCCGACTGAGGCAGAGCCACCCTCGTTCCCAGGACCTGAGATCCTCGGGCGATTCCCTCCTGAGTCACGCAAGCTTAACGAGCAAGAGCTGGACCCTTACTTTATTAATTTTGAAGCGTCTACACGGGAGCTAGAACTACTTTTACAGGGAAACATTGAGAAGGTCAATCGACGAACTCTCTCACATCTGTCTGGGCTCTCAGCCGACTTGATGGAGCTGGGAGCGCGTTACAACGGATTCTCTCTTTCAGAGCAGTCACCAACAGTGGCTGCCGCCATTGAGCGGATCGGGCAGGCCGCCGATACTTCGTATATTGAAACCGAAGAACTATCCTCGGCTTTGAGCGCAAGTTTTGCGGAACCTATGCGGGAGAGTGCTCAATTTGCTAGCGTTGTTCGCGGAGTTCTACGATACAGAGTGCTCAAGCGGGTACAACAAGAAATGACTCGCGATGAGTTGTCGAAGAAAAAGACACTACTAGACTCTCTAGAGCGCAGTGAACTCGAAGCCAAGCGCATCGAACAGTATCTCAACCGCACCAGCCCTCATTCTGGAGGGACAAAGCCTCGTTCTCAGTCAACCTCATCCGCCATGAGCAGCGAAGGGGGCAACGGTCCCGCCCTGTCAACTGACTCGGGATTTTCATCTACTCACGACGATTCCATGAGCTCTTTGCCTGGATCACAGATTGGAGGACTCAAGAGGTCTGACCCGTCAGTATCAGGCTCCCCTGCTCATCGAAAGTCATCCAGCGGGACCTTTGTCGCGAACAAAATCTTCGGTCGCATCAGCCATGCTATCCATGGGTTTGCGGATGTAGATCCCGAACGAACACGTCGGGACCAGATCGGCAAGACGAAAGAGAGTCTGATCCAGGTATGTGAACAATGGAGTTGAGTTTGACGATGGTTCCCAAACTAATCTCTACTTTTAGTTGGAGCAAGCGTTAGAAGTGTCCGAAAAGGACGTCAAGGATGCGAGTGCGGGTGTGCTCAATGATCTCAAGCGCTTCCAGAAGGACAAAGAAGCTGACCTGCGACGATACATGGTATGAATTGCCCCCTACATGATTTAAGACCAAAACTAAACATGAGCTTCTAGGTCGCATATGCTCGTTGCCACTTGGACTGGGCTCGGAAGAACCTGGAGACATGGACCGAAGCCAAAGATGAGGTGGACAAGATCGTGGCTCGATAGAAGACCATACTTTCATCTTCAGCCTGATGGAGCTCGGCGCTGGCGTTCGGCGGATATCTTTTACTTTTACTTTTACTTTTTACCTTGTCACTACACTGGAACTCGCTGGAAATGTAAGTTTGGTATATCCAATTGTCTGAGTCTAGGCCATTATGTATACAAAGTTAGTAGCCCTAGAGGGACAGGCGCTTTGTCTTACGTGTGCCTTCGTACCTACAACCCAACAGGGTTATATTAGGGTTATATTGCTGGGGCGTCAAAAGAACGAGAAAAGGGCTAGCTCCTTAGATTGTGCTTATTATTTGTTTTCATCAACCTTGTAGAAGTGATACGTTTGAAATGTAAATCGCACATTCCCAACGGATTGACCCATAACTTCCCGTGACTTAAAAAGTACGATCGACACTGCAACCGATCGGTTTCAAAAACTACAGACATCCCTTGTTTGTTAGGTTCACTAACCCATGTACAGAAAGGTACGGCGTGCAATTATCTCGGAGCCCAATATCGCCTGATATCTCTTGATATCGCCTGATATGCAGTTGTGTTTAGAAGTGAGCTATCTTTTGTGCCACGAATCCTTCCAATCCTTCCAATTCTTCCGCTTCCATCACGCCAAGGCCAAACCATCTGTATCTCTTCTACAGACAACTCATGCTCTAGGCATTCCGAAAACCCTGCAGGCATGTCCGGTTGTGGACCCTCTATTGAGTAACCAAGTGGACCTTGTCGCAGTTCCTTGAACCCCTCTTGTGTCCTTCATCACCAACTCCACCTAACCAGGGTGGGCACGCCGTGCGTCGACCGAAAACGATGAGTGCCTGGATCCATCAAGATGATCGTCAGGGCCGGTCACTTATCACGGTCGATGTCGCCGTCTGGCCATCGCGATGAATTTCGACATCGGTCTTTTTGGAAATTTCCTCGACGGTGGGTTAAGATGCTTTCCTTCCTCGCCTTACTATGTTTCTTGTCCGTTGTTCTTGGTCTAAGTATCAAAAGAGACCAGAACTTTGAACATGGCCAGAAACTACAAGATCTTGGAAATGATCAGGCTGTAAGCCGCTTTCCTCCTTCTCGTCAGACACAGCAACATACACATGATCCTACTATTCTCCGTGTGGGTGATGAGTATTATCTTTATCATGTCGGTGAACACATCTTCATCCACACTTCGCCTAGTATGGCTGGCCCATGGAAGCGTGTCGGCAGTGTGCTGGATGCCAAGAGTGTGATCCCGAAGGGTGACCGCGCAGTGCCATGGGCCCCGACCGTTATCACCGTCGACGGAACATACTACTGCTATTACAGTGTCAGCAAGGCCGGTTGCCGTGACAGTGCTGTTGGCGTGGCCACCTCGAACTCTCCGGGTCCGGGCAATTGGGTTGATCATGGCGCTGTCATTGAGACGGGCACAGGCAATGGTTCGGACATTTATCCTTACACCAAGTCAAATGCCATTGACCCTAGCACATTGGTTACTCCTGACGGAAATGCTTATTTAACTTTTGGAAGCTACTGGAATGGAATTTTCCAGATTCCGCTGAGCAAAGACCTCCTCTCCTCAGCCAGTACTACCGAACCCGATGAGCGTCAGCTGGCGTGGGAGCCGGAATCTATCGGCTTGCCGAATCGCTTGGCCAACAACATCTGCGGCGACCCGAGCGGTCCCCATCCCATTGAGGGTGCTTTCATCTCCTACAATGCTGGATGGTACTATCTCTGGTTTAGCCATGGCTTCTGCTGTAATCTGAAGGAAGACAACCTGCCGCCCGCTGGTCAAGAGTAAGACTTGACGATCAAATGGCTTGTTGCTTCATACTAACATACATCAGATATTCCATCCGCGTTGGACGCTCTCAAAGTCCCCGTGGGCCATTCACAGACAAGTCCGGTAAAGATCTCGTCGAAGGCGGCGGCGAACTTGTCTATGGCTCAAACGGAGAGACCTATGCCCCAGGCGGGCAAGCTGTGATCCGTGATGGCGATACTGATGTGCTCTACTACCACTACCGTGCGTTCACTTCCTAACCCCATGTACCGTTTTTGAACTCCATTCTGACCTCATCACAGTGAACACGACCGTTGGCATTGCATTCCAGGTGAGTTCACACTAAACTATTGGCAGGCTTGTGGACCACGATTGTTGTGGTTTATGCACCCTTGTCGATCCTCCTTTGTTGTCCCTTGCACCATGTCCACGCACGTCATGAAGATCTGACCTAACATGTATCCACAGGACGCGTTCCTTGGATTTAATCCTCTCAAATATGTTGACGGATGGCCTATCGCTCAGGCCTGAGTTGACCTCATATTCGCACGTCATGCATTTCTCCATCTGTCCTCGACTTTCCGTTTCCCCACCCACTATAGATAATCTCGACCAAACCCTGCTGCATTTTACCTCCGCGTTCATCTCATCCCTTTTCTTTCGACAATAGATCTCGAATTCTGCACATTTCTGCGTTCTTGCTTGTCAACACACTTGAAGCAGTCGCATCGTCATCTCTCTTTCGCGTTGATAGACCTGTTTTCATCCCTTTCGCGACTCCATTGCTTACACACATTACCCGTTCTGCTCAAAGCTCGTCTGCATTTCGTGGCGTTCAGGTGTTGGGATATACAACTTTTTGCTCTTGGTATATCTACTCGTTTATGTGTGTGAATTGTGATTTACCTTGCCGATACATATGGTTCTGCGAAAGAGAATATAATCTCACTGCATTCAGTCATATTTGTAAAAGTCGAAGCAAACCTGCGCCATTCCAATGTTAGACCAAGGACATGTCCAAAAACAATAATCGTATACTCTAGCCCATACTCATCAGTCAACATATTCGGTTTCCACCTCAATATACAAATGTTCTTCTTGGTTCCCCCGGCATTTATATGTTACCGCGTAAGACCCACTAAGGGTTCCGACGTCTCTTCTATGACCTCCATCCATGATTCAATAACCCTCCCAAAAGTGAACGAAGTCTTTTCCGACTTCCAGGCTCTTGTTGCTGACTGCGCTCCGAGGATGCCGCTGCATCCTCTGTAGCCTCTAGCTCCGCCTGCTTGGAACTCTTGGAAATATCTGACACTTCCGGCTGCTGTTCTCCCTGGTTGTCGGGTTCTGCTTGTTGACTTGAGACATCACGTTTGATTCGATTTCATTGATCTAGTCATGATCATATCTCTACTTTATTTGCTTGAAGAATCAAAATGCTTAGAAATCTTTAAATCTCTAAGATATAGATTGTTCGGGGTAAGACACAGGTCATAAAATAGTCATCAACTACACATGTATCATGTGTGCATGAACGCAAATCCATAATACCTGGAAAGCTCCTCAATCTCCAATCCAAAAACAAATTGACTTCACCATTTCTGTGTCTCTTTCCAGCCGGAGCCCTTGCTGCGATTGTCCCATCCTGCATCCGAGCGTTCGCGCGAGCCGCTTCGAGTATGACGCATTTTCTCATTCTCCTCTAATTCAATCTGCCAGCGCTCCTTCTTCTTCTTTTTGTCCCGGTGCACATTTCTATCTTGACTCCAGGTTGGACTGCCACCGCCACGGTGTTCTTCTTCATGTCCCCAGGAGTAAGACCTAGGCCTGGTGCGGCTGCTGCCCTGTTCCCCACAGTTATTTCGTTCCCACTCACGGTTGGGACTTGATCGGCCTCTTGACTTTTGCTCTGGAGAGGCATTGCCGTTACGTTTGCTTTTCTTGTGGTAAATTTTCGCATCATCGTCTCCCCATCCATAGTGGTGGTTATGGTCCTCGTCGGGATAGATGCTCCGTCGCGGGCTGTTTTGCCGTGTGCCGCTGTCATTCTGCCCCCAACCACTGCAGGTATCTGCTTCTTTTCTTGACTTTCGATCCGGGGATGTATGGTGGTCACGTTTGCTTTTCTTGTGGTAACTTTTCGTATCGTCATCTCCCCATCCATCGCAGCGATTGTGGTCTTCGTTGGAATGGTTGCTCCGTGAATGGCTGTTCCGCTGTGCACCATCGTCACTCTGACCCCAACTACCACGAAGGAAATCCACATCGTTTCCTGACGCTGGATCTTGAGATGCAGGGCGGCTGTTGTCCCATCGAGAACTTCTTTCCCGTGGGCTATTGTGACTGTCTCGTGAGCCTCGTGGTGGGGAGCCTGATACACTATTTCTTTGCTCTCCTTGGTCCTTGTTGAAATTGTTGCCCCAGTCGTTGTTGTTGTCGTTCTGACTAGTATTATCTTGATTGTCCCGTGGAGCTTGCTCATTCCCCCAGTCACTTCCACCATGGTTGCTAGTTCGGTCTTTTTGTCCTTTTGTGTTTCCCCACGGATCGTACTGCTCGGCCTGCGCCCCCTGGGCCTTGGGAGAACGAGCAGTGGGGGATTTCTGATGGTTCTGGCCTTGGTTCTTGTTTTTCTGTTTGCGTTGGCTTCGGTTCTGCTTTCCTCGTTGCTCATTCTGACTTTGCTGCTGCTCTCTTTCCTGTTGCTGCTTTTGTTTGTTTTGCAGAGCCCGTTGTTTCCTTTGTTGCCGTTTGGATAATGGGTTCAGCTGCTGGTTCGCTGTATGAGGGAGACTATGGGTGCTGACTCGGTTGGGTCCTTGGAAATGTTGGTCAGAATTCGGGTTTCCGGTAAACGTGGGCTGCCGGGGGTGAACATACTGTGGCAGACGCAGGTCATGGGATAATCCTCTGGTCTTTGGGCGAACCCACCCGCTAGGGGTAACGTAGGGTCCAAATCTAAGGCTTTGGGCTCCGTTCGCGGGCTCATAGTTAGCCTGGGCGCGGTCCCGGTTTCTTCTGTTGAGGATTTGGCCTTCTTGATGCATCCGGGCCACATGTGATCGATACCAAATGTAGAACAGCCACGCGAAGGCTGGGGTTACCAACGCTATCGCCAGAAGAATCCCGACTAGGACATTGTCCTTCATGGTGTAGTGCAGTAGTTGAAGAGTGGCTCCAAGTGATGAGTTTAGAGTGTGTGCAGCTGGAGTAAATTTTGGTGGAAGATTTGTGTGGTGCACGTCAAATAATAGGATATTGCAGAGTGCAAGAGACTTAGAGCGAAGAGAGGGAAGAGAATGAAGGTAAGGATTGTTTGAAGGTCTTAAAATAGGATATCGATCTCAAGGAAAGTGACGAGAGAGACAAAAGAGGAAAGAGATGCAAGTGAAGTGAGAAAAGGAAGGAGCAGACGAGATATGTATACTTAAGATATATGTATTCTATCTAATTGTAGTTACATAGTTATCTTCTTTTCAAGTTCAATCCACACAAGTATAGCCCTGTCATATCCCTTCGGTGGTCTTTCTAGAGCCTTTTTAGATGTCTTTTTAGATGTCTTTATATGTTGCCCCCTTATCAAGCTTTATAGGTAGACGGCAGAAGGTGGAAAAAGGCTTAATTTGTGAATGAGACTCTATGTCTAACTTGATTTTACTGATTTTGATTACAGCTCACATTTCCAATGCAGCCTGGATTCTCGACAACCAATCCCCATGGACTGATGACGATTTGCCTGCGCCCAAGAGCGATTCAAGTGATCTTCGGAAGTCATTTGGCTGCACCCGTAGACTCTCTGGCGCCGGGAAGACTTGTGAGCCTAGAGCAGACGAGATGACAATAACGCGGAGACCTAGGGTGAAAATTTCAGGCTTCGACACCCAACCAAGAAGTCCATCTGGTTCCTTCTCAGAGCCAACCAGAGAACAGAGATATCTTAATCCGTCAAAGGCCCAGGCAGAAGTTTCATCCAACGAGAGCTTAGTGTAAGCCGAGCGAGTCGCCCGTAATAGAGCTCGCGACCAAACCTCAACTTCACGCACGTCATCGATAAACAGATTCTGTCTCTCCTCCACGAAGAGGACGGTACTCTCTTGGCGATGTTCTGTGATCTGGTCTGACACAGCAACCAAGTGACTATGTTCGTCAGATCCACTGATCCTTGGCTCCTGACCAGTCAAATATCGAAGAACCCGTTGTCCGAGGAGTGCGGAATCTGAATAGTTATCGATAATAAATTCGGCAAGCAGGGCGCTTGCATTGAGAGGCGCCAGGGCCACATCGGCGTCAGGTGAAACGGACGAGCGTGACAAAACCCAAGAGGCAGCTGATGCAGCCACATCACGAATCTCATCATCGTCGTCATTGAGCATGTCATACAAGACTAGATAGATATCTAGTAGCACCGCATCCACGTGTGGCTGGGAACCAGGAGATCTAAGAGCCCGTGAAAAGCTGCCAACAGATACAGCTGCAGCAAAACGGGTTGTGAATTCCTAGGAAACGAAAAAGATTAGATCGGTGATTTTATTATAGGACAAATGCCTCGGTAAAACTCACTGTTTCCTCGCTCAAGGCAGAGCGAAGCTTGATAGTCCAGCCGTGGATATCCTTTTCAAATGAGGATGAAGGTGACCCATCAACAGATTGTCGGATGGCCAATAGACAGCCTCGAAGTCGGAGCTCAGCGTCCGTTGCCTCTCGGTTCCAGGTTGTGATATCTGTTTGGGGGCGGAAGCTATTCGCAATAGCATCCCATGGAAGACCGATGCTTGACACAGAATCAAACCCTGACGATATTAAGTTCTCCACAATAGAAGCCAAATTGGATACGGCCATTGTTTTTACATCAGGTCGACTTTCTCCCAAAATCACAGACGAATATAAGCCAGCCAATGGCTGTCTGTACCTCTCGTCTTCGCCAACTGACTCGTGGAGCTGCTCTAAAATCCAACGAGCGACATCTGCATCGAATTGCGACACTCCACTGAAGAATACTGGGAGCTGTTCCCACTGCTGGGAAGTAAGCAGTTTTAATGTTGTGCACCAGGCAAGCGCTCTTCGAAGGAGGGCAGATGCTCGGCTGGGGCTTGAGAGGTTCCACCCCGCCTGAGAAGCGTCAAAGACAAATCCCAGAATACCATCGAGGTCGTGAGCCTCGAACATCTCGTTGATGAAAGAAATTACTTGGTCTATAGATCGGTTAGCTCATGTGCTTTCTTTGCCCAGATGAATGTCCACTTACTTTCGCTCTTTGCTTGGATCGCCCGCTCCATCGTGCCATTGAGAATTTCAACAAGCTCGCTTGCCACAGTGGGCGATTTTCCAACACGGAAAAGGAATTCTAATAAAGTGCGCAACCTCGTGAAAAGTATATCAAGGTTCGCTGCTAATTGATTAGCTCGAGTATTATTAGGGATTTCTCAGCGCACTCACATATCCAGAAATCATCGGTTGTGAAGGAGTATCGACGAAGTGCATATCGTACACACAAAGCAACACCATGAACATAGTTCTCGGTAATTTTTGAGGGAAGCGTAATGAGAGTGCATAACTCTTCCGGGATTTGTTGTCGAGTGAGCAATGACGCATATACACGGGCTGCATGCTCTCTAACACCCCAAACTGGGCTGCTCAAGTGCTCAAGAACCAATCCGCGTAGCATCTCATCAGTAGGATCATCCAAGCTCGGGACTTTGTCACCAACGAGTTCTAGCGCAGGGAACACCCGCTCAGTAATGATTTCAGTGCCCTCCGCTGCTTCACCCTGCGTCGTTGTAAGAAGACCAGAGAGCAGTTCAAGCAGACCGGAGTACTTGGGGAATGATATCCGAGATCCTGGCTCCGAGCCCGAGTTTCCTCCAAATCCAGGCCCAGCCCCAGGAATGACGCGGCACATCTTTGTGAGTAGGGCGCGGAAGAGCATCAATCCTGAATTGCGAAGAGCCCAGATTGGTGACCCCAGGCGTTCGGCGGACAGAGTCAGTGCCTTCATGATGAATGGCTCGGTATGAGGTCCAAGCTTCGCGTTCGTGAAGATGTCTTTCAGGCAATTCATTGCATGAACCTGGGGCAGCTCCAAGTACTGTCTCTCTTTGTCGTACTCCACGGAAAGGGATGAGATCTCGTGGAGTTCATTAATGGCCTCGTTGAAAAATGGAGTTCCGGGATCGGAACCAACAATTCCTGTCACCAATGCAGGCAAGCCAGCAGAACGACGGGTGAGTTGAGATGCCGAGTCAAAGATAGTCGACTTAGCTTCCTGGTACCAGCTTCTAGGAAGTTCCCGGATAGACGGGTCCTTCGAGGAGCTGCATCGTTGACAGCATGTCGCAAATGTCTGTGAGACGTTGGAAAATGCACCTCTATGGCGGAGTTCAGCCAGCTGTGTGAAGCTCACACCTCCAATGTTTGAAAAATCTGCCAGGTTGAGTCCATCATTGCCGCTTGGTCCGTAACTGGTGTTTAGCATAGTGGCATGGAGCAAAAGGCTACTCCGGTCAGCGATTATACATGGCCAAGAAAGAGTACGAACTTACGTTGCTTCGCGAAGAGATCTCCAGGAATAAGAAAGGGCGTCCTTGGGTCCCACGTTCAGATCCTCGGTGGGCTCGTCCGAGTGACCTTCGGGTGAGTCGATACACAGCAAAGGCTTCGCCTCAATCCAGATCTTATCGCAAATTGCAACAATGCGGTCATGGACAGATCGCCAAGCAGCAGATCCCGCCCCGTCAGATATCAGGGAGTGGAAGCTTGGCATAAGGACAATATACCTGGAATTGCAATTAGCATATTAACTCCTGTATGGACCAAGACAACATACCTGAGACCGGATGTATATCCATGAAGTGGAGCCTCGCGCATTGTGGAGTTAAAAAGGGTCTTTGAATCTAGAAGACGCTCCTCAAGCTTTTTCAAAATTGTGTCGACCACTGATGCCTTAGTTGTCCACCAACCAGAAACCGGTTGACCGGAGTTGGCGGGCAGGGCTGCGCAGAAGATTATGTGGTATAGACGAGCAACAGTATCAGCGTGATCAGCTCTGCTCGTGTTACTTGCCAGGCTTTCCGCCCTGGTAATTGCATCTGTCAACCGCATGCCGACTGCCGACTGCTGGTCTGTCTCGTTTTGCAAGCCGTTGAGCAGGATCTCTCGAGGACACAAACTCAAGATCGAAAGCGATGTTTGTCGAACCTCCTCAAATGGGTCAAGTAGGAGATCAATCAACAACCGGAGTAGTTGAGCATCAAACACTTCAACATTGACTTTCCAAATATTTTCCATCTCTGATTTTTGGAGTTTGGCCTCTATCCGTGAATCAAGACCGGAGTCTAGCAGGAGCTTCAGAGCTTTGAGAGCAGTGATGTGGCGCGGATATGAGGCCGCCAGACGCAAATCATTGCCCAATAACTTAAGGTATGACTTTAGGAACTCTGTGGTTTCAGTTTCATTTCTGACCTGGCCTTGAGCTAGCTTGTTGGCTGTTTTCTCTGTCTTCAAGGCAACATCTTCATCTTTGACAATGCCACCCCTTAGACGAACGAAGAATTTGCGTGTCAGACTAAGAATTTCTCCTCGAGTATATGCGTCGGATTCAGCATGCATCGAGGGTAGTCCTCGAAGGATAGCCTTGGTTGCCCGCACCGTGAATGGCTTTACAGTGGAAAATGCCGTGATCAACAGCGAGAGAGCCGCTATACGGATATTGGCCTCGCGGTGCAGGAGAAAGTTGCCGATCACATCGCTCTTCATGACCAACGCCTCATTTTCGTCGAGTTTCATTTTGCCGACATTAAAAATATCTGCGCATATTAGAGAATTGACAATAAATCCAGGTTGACAATGGTACTCACAATCTTCATGAACCAAGTTGATTTTCTTGCCAATCTGCAGAGCAGCAAAAAGAACCATATACTCTTCCTCAGGCGCATCGGTCATATCACCTTTCAGAAGGCTCTTGACTGGGAGAGTGTCAAGGAAGACTTTAAAGCCCTTGGGGTCAATGGTAAACAGAGGCTGCAGGAGCCTATTGGACAGGTCTTCCAAGGTTTCTATGTTTTGTAAGACCATGCGTCTCACTGGCATTACCCACATCGCCGACAGTTTTTCCGGTGAGTTGTCAGGCTTCATCTTCTGGATCAAAATTGCT